CTATGAAATAAATTATATTTCGCCAACATTTATATGCGATCGCATTTGGTTATTTCATATAAGAATCACATAGTGTATCATAAAAATTAAGCTTATTTAATTCGTTATGCCAATTTGATTATGATTACTACTAAATGTCACATATTAACTACAAAATGATGCAATATAAATACTAACTTAATGAATACGGCCAAAGAAATCAAAATCACCAAAATCACATCGAATATCAAAACAAACCTGTCTTTCTAGCTCCGTGTTAGCAAAGTCTTCCAGCAATCCTGCCTCCAATATCCAATAATCGATGTGGCGAAAGCGACTTCCGCCTCGATTCCAGCCACCGGCTAATGTTGGTGGCTGCCAACCCAAACCTGGGCCAAACCTTTGGGTAGAGCTGTATACGTGTGAACGAAAATCATGAGCTGCCGCAGGACCGTAACGTTTTTTCACAGCTCTTGCATTTGAATATAACCTCCCATCTAGTGATGCTTGATATCGTGTCCCACCATCTAACTCGTGTTGAGATCCAGTCTTAAATGCACTAAAGCTTGCTAATGGTAGACTCGATTTAGCGTGAACTTGTTCATATCCATCAAGAACGCTGGATATTTCCTAGTTCAAAAAGGGCAGATACAGATAGTTGATTTAGGATCGGCAAGAATAAAAAACATTGAGGTTGAACATTTATGCTAGTACTATCAATGTGAATCTGCAATTATAAACACTAAATTAGTCTTCGAGGGACAAACCAAATAAATCGCATCTTTCTCCTAGCAACACAATTATCCTACACGCAAAGCTGATAAGTATTGCGCGATTCAAAATATTTGGGTGAACGATATTTAAAGTTATATAGTTATGTTTGAGAAGTGAGATGTCCATAGTTTTGAAATAGAGAATTACAAATGTGATGATTTTAGGAAGAACATCTGAATCAGATAAAAGATGAGTGTAAGGAGGTACTGTGGCTACTTCAGCTGCGGTAAATGGTTTAATAAATCAGATGAGGATGTTTTCTTATTGTTCCATAAAAACAATGATGATCTAGATAACTGCAGATATGTAATTCCGATATAAAATCAATATTATGATTTTCACATTATTTTACATCAAATAATTAGATATTGTTTGAATGTAATTATTGAATACCTGGGTTTTGACGATATATTCAGATGATTCATTAAGGCTAGTTCAGAGTTATTGAGCCCCTAAACATCAATATTTATCATTTCTTGTATGTGAGACTGAAATTAAGCAATTGTATTGCTAAGATTAATTATTTGTCCCTTATTTTAGCAGAAA